CTCACCAAGTTTTCTTCAAAATCGGTTTTCCTTTCACTGTTTCTCACTTTTAAAAAGAAACAATACTTCTCATTATCTCCCTCTTTAATATTTTACAAATAAGTCTATATTTTAAACTGGTTTTTGCTGTGGCTGTCATATATCTCCTGTTGACAAGCAAGCCATATGTTTGCTAAGGCAGTTTTAAAATTTTTTATTGAACCTATAAAGGTCAATATCCTTTTCTCCACACACTTCTCATTTTTCAGCATCAACACCTTATGCAAATAGATCAAGTTGAAGTTGTTTTAGTCAAAGATCATATTTTTTTCTCATTTTTAATTCTTTCTTCTAACCTTGCATTAATTTGCTCTTTGCTCTAACAAATTATTTACTCGACTGCAGACAACTTATTCAGAACTTATTCCCATATCAGTAACTACATAGTTCTTGTATATTAAATATAACCAATTTCTTTCCCTTTTTTATGGTAATGTTATTGAGGTGTTCATCATGTACAGTACTCTTTTTTTTTCTTTTTGACATATGTGCTGTTTATTATTTTAAAAATAATAATCATTAACATATTTTGCTTTAAGATTTACAAAGTGCTTTACATACATTACCTTATGTGAGACTCACAGCTATTTCATAAGAAATGTAGACTAGATATTATTATTCCTGTTTTATAGATAAGGAAATTGAAGCTGAGACAAATCTCAGTAATGAGTCACATAGCTGGTACACATCAGAACTAGCATTAAACTCAGGTTTCCATATTTCAAATCCACATGCAACTTGTTCTACTATATCACAGGTGCCTATTTTATTTTATTAAAATTTTTTTTATTTTTAGGCAATTGGGGTTAAGTGACTTGCCCAGGGTCACACAGCTAGTGTCAAGTGTTTGGTCTGAGGCCAGATTTGAACACAGGTACTCCTGACTTGGTGCTCTATCCACTGCGCCACCTAGCTGCCCCTTCAATAGATATTTTTACTGTTTAGGATAGATATGTTTAGTCTTTTATTAAGTCCCTCCCACTATCTCACCCACAATGTACACATTTTAAAAAAAGAAAAAGAAGTCCTTTAATACATGCAGATCTAGCAAAACAAATTTCCATGGCAGCTATGTCTGAAAATGTTTGTCTCTTCCTACATTTTAGGTTCATCCCATCTTTGTCAGGAGGCACATGGTGTGTTTCAACTTCATTCTTTTGGACTCACAATTCATCATTGAATTCAGGCAGCTAAATGGCACAATGGAAAGAACATTGGACTTGAGGTCAGGATGACTCAGCTTTTCAATTTAGCCTCAGGTATTTACTAGCTGTGTGACCTCGGGCAAATCACTTCATGTCTGTCTGGCTCAGTTTCCTCTACTATAAAATGGGGATAATAGTTGCACTTATGTCTCTGGTTTGTTGTGGATCGAAAGAGATAACACATGCAAAGTGCTTTGTGAATCTTAGAAATTTTGGTATATAAATTTGGTAAATAATTAAAAGTAATAGTAAAAACAATTGTATGCAAATGTAATAAAAGTGTTCTATTATGATAATGACCAGAGTTCTAAAGTATTTCAAAGTTGCTTTTCTCTATAATATAGTTACTGTATAAATTGTTCTGGTTCTGCTTACTTTGTTATATATCAGTTTACAGAGGTCTTCCAAGTTTTCTCTGAAATGAACCGTTTTAATATTTCTCATGGCACAACAATGTTCTACTATATTTACATACTAAAATTTGTTTAGTCATTCTCTAATAGGTGAATATCCCTTAGTTTTCAATTTTCAGTCTTCTTTCTTTGCTAGTCTGATGAGGGTTAGTTAAGTGGAACCTCAAAGATGTTTTAATTTGCATTTCTCTAATTATTAATGATTTAGAGCATTTTTCACATGGTTGTTGATATGGTTTTTCATACAACTGTTGAATCATCAAAATTAATCAATAGATTTTTTTTTTTAGCCAACTGGCGTTAAGCAACTTGCCCAGGGTCACATAGCTAGTAAGTATCAAGTGTTTGGTCTGAGGCCAGATTTGAACACAGGTACTCCTGACTTGGTGCTCTATCCACTGCGCCACCTAGCTGCCCCTTCAATAGATATTTTTACTGTTTAGGATAGATATGTTTAGGAACATAGTAGGTACTTAATTGAAAATTGTCAATTCATATCCTTTGACCATTTATCTATTAGATATAGGCTCTTTGTCTTATAAATTTGAATCAGCTTCTTTTATACCTCAGATATGAGTCCTTTATCAGAGAGATTTGCTGCAAAGATTTTTCCCCTGATTACCTATTTTCTTTCTAATTTTAGCCTCATTGGATTTATTTGTGCAAAAACATCAATTTGTAATCAGAATTGTCCATTTAATCTTATATAATCCTATCACTTTAATCATGAAGTCTACCCCTATCATAGACCTGAAAGAACCTTGCTTTTCTAATTTGTTTATTCTTTGACCTTTTATGTCTATGTCATGTGTCCATTTGGAGTTTATTTTGTCATATGATATAAGGTATTGGCCTAAACCTAATTTCTGCAAGATTGCTGTCCATTTTCTCAGGAGATCAAATAGTATTTTCCCCAGTAACTAAAATTTTAGAGTTTATTGAATATAACTGTGTTTATTCACTTCTCTATGCTATGTACCTAAGCTCTTCTACTGATTAACCTCCCTTTTTTTTAATGACTGCAAATCATTTTAATGATTATTGTTTTGTAATACAGTTGGAAAGGCAGTATGATTCTTTTCTCAAAGAAAGTATTCATAATGTAAAGCATAAATCTTCTGGGTCATCTATGTCTTTACTGTCTCTCATTCTTTACCACTGAACCACATTTTTCATTGTCCTCACCTTTTCCCACGATGACCAGATGACCAAAGGCAATATGGCACCATGAAAGGAGTACTAAATTTGGCATTAGAGGTCCTAATCTCAGCTATCCTACTTACTACTTCTGTGACCATAATGAGTCATTTAATGTCTCTGGGCTTCAGTTTCCTCATCTGTAAAATGAGCAAATTGGACTCTAAAGTCCCTCACAGCTCTAAATCTAGGATGCTACAACCCATAGAAGAATGCCTTTGACCACAACAGTAAAGCTATGCTTCAAAGAATCTTGCAGTTTTCAAGCTATCCATAACTATGAGCTTAAATGTTGATACTCCAAATGTGAAATACCTGTCCAATGACATTTTAAATATCCATTGGACATTTTAAAGAGAAACCGAATCATATCAATGTTGATGTTTTCATTATAAACTAAACCAGAAGACAGAAGGAAGTTCTCACTTAATGGAAAGATAGCTCATAGATTCTCTTTTGAAAAACAACTAAAGAGTTGTTTTTATCCTGTGCCTAAAGGGAACAATAAATACATCCTGGGATAAAGGTTCAAATATTCTACCACTGTGTTGGGTGCTTGAGGTCCAATGGGAAGATTCACTATAAATAAATAAATATTATAAATATATATATATATATATATATTATGTATATACATATGTATATATGTGTGTGTATATATCTATCTATATCTATGTCTATATCTATATCTATATATACATATATATATGTATATATCTATCTATATCTATGTCTATATCTATATCTATATATACATACATATATATATATATACATATATATATATATATATATATATATATATATATATATATATAAACTCTTGAAGCTCCAACTCTTCCTAGACTTCCTTCTATGTTTCTATCTCTTTGAGGTGAGCAGTGGATTCAACCACAACAGGACTCAGTGGCTGTTTTTTGTCATAGCCCATGAATACACACACTAACTTGCAGTTCAGTTCAGTTTTTTTAGTCATGTCTGACTCTTTGTGGGTTTTCTCGGCAAAGATACTGGAATGGTTTGCCATTTCCTTCTCCAGTTCATTTTACAGATGAGGAACTGAGGCAAACAGGGTTAAGTGACTTGCCCCTGGTCACACAACTACTAAGTGTGTGAGACCCAATTTGAGTTCATGAAGATGAGTCTTCCTGACTCCAGGCCCAGCTCTCTATTCATTGCAGCCCAACAAATTAATACATTAATGATCTGTAATTTCATTGGTTTGGGAACTCCCTCCATCTAGGCAGCTTAAAATCTAACTCTAATTAAGTAGATAAATCTTACAGAGCTCTTTGAACCCCAGAGAGTTTAAGTGGCTTTCCTCAGATAAAGAGAACATGGCTCTGGCTGATTACAATCCTAACACTCAACTTAGTGCTTCAGACTTCTAGTCTGCTGCTCTATGTGGAGCAGCTAATGCCACAGATTGAAATAGCTCGTTTCCTGGTCAGTGCTTTTCCATCAAGAGTTCATGAGCTCAGCCTGATTAATTTAGAGGCAATGATTCTGCACCCAGCCACAAGAGCTTAATGTTATTATCTGGTAACTTAATCCTAGAGACAATAGCACCTTTTGAGAGTGAGTTAAAGATTCTGTTCTTCCTCGGTCTTGGGTGTGGTGGCTTTCCTTGACCAGTTAGGAGGTGTGTGTTGGAAAGGGCCAGAGGAATAGGTAGTCCCGGGGAAAAACAGTTCGTTTTGCTGATGCAGGCAATCCAGCACTTAATTGGCCAGTGGGAAAGGTTGTAAGATATAGTCTATTTGCCTTGGGTTTCTCCTCCCCCTAGAGTACTAAATTTGCTCTATACTACCTGAGGTTTTTACTCTTTGTAACTAACAGTGCTAAATTTGTACTATGCCTGAGTTTGCACAATAGGAGGCGCTGGGTGTATTTCATAACTTTCTTGGAGAGCAATATTTTTCAAAGCAAATAGCCCCCTGAGTTGATCCATCTGGAAATGCTGAATGTGTGGTGTTCAGCAGGAGTCTTAGTAGATAAGGCATTAATACGTGTCTGGGCAATGAGTTGACTTACTGAATCAAATGATTTGCTGACACTTCCCTTCTACCTCAGGTGCTTGAGGTAGAGTGTCAAAGGTTCACTATAAATAGCTGAAGCTAGCCCTTAGAGCTCCCACTCTCCTCAGACTGCCATATCTCAGTGACTACTTGGCAAAGACTTTGCTTGGGCTAGTGGAATCAGGTCCTAGGAAAATCACACCATGGTGAGGCTTGTGCTACCTAATCCAGGCTTGGAGAATAGGATAAAGACACTTGATGAACTTGAGGACACTGAAAAAGAAGAGGCAGATTCAAGACCGAAATGGGACAACAAGGCCCAATACATGCTAACTTGCGTCGGCTTTTGTGTGGGGCTAGGAAACGTGTGGCGATTTCCTTACCTCTGCCAGAGCCATGGAGGAGGTATGTAGTGTCTGTTTATTCTCTGTAGCCTGTGGGAGAAATGGGGCCCGTGGTAGATGCTGAGTTAAGCAGCAGAATGAGCGGGCAGACTTTTTTACAATACTCAAATGCACTTTCAGCACTAGACTAAAAGCTCCATGAGGGCAGGAATCATTCTCATCTAAACTTTAAATTTCCACCAGTGCCTAGTACAATGCGCCTCTGCCCGAGTGGGTGTTGGATAAATGTTAGCTGAATTGAATTGAACTCAACACTATACCCAGGGCTTAAGTGTATATGTACAAGAAAGGCGAAAATGATGGGAGAGTGGTCCACTGCCATCTCTGTAGCTCACTCGGCTTCTCCTGGGGATTGTATCATTAAGCTGGGGGAAGAATAGATCTGGCAGGCTCTATATACCCAATGCAGTATGATCGCATAAACTTTTATTCTTCTGATTCTTTCCTACTCTCTCCTCCATTAGATTGCAGGGGACAGAACTAGAGAAGATAGGTTGGGGAAAAGGCATTTGACCCCAAAATTTTACTTTTTCATTTATATAATTTATCAAGTAAGGATTTTTGTCTATAGTTCTTGTCATCATTTCCCAAAAATATTTTGCCTTCAGAAGCAATATGACCCCTGATAGAATGCTGGCTTGGCTTGGGCATCATAAAGACCTGGGTTCAAGTCCTTTCTCTGACACTAGTCAGCTCTCCAGTCAACTCCCTGAGCTGCAAAGTTAGAGATAAGTTGCCTGTTTGTGTGTGTGGAAAAGTTTTCATGCCAGAAGTTCCCTTGCATGATTAAAATCATAAGTCTGAACAGCAACCAAAAAAAAGGTGTTTAAGGCTTTAATGATAATGCATTCTGAGCTTCTAGCATGGATCATAAAGTCCTTTTTTTTCCCCATAAAGACTTTATGCACCAAAAAACTTATTTACTGAATGAATCTCTTTTGCCTGAAAGAGTGATTGCAGCTCCCAAAGTGCCAGGGTGATATTTCCTCAAGGGGGCTCCCGGTATTCTGGAAGAATTGACTCATTTCTCATGTCTCCTATGGGCTTGGAAAGACATAAGCTATAATATGCTCTCTCAAGAAAAGGGCAAAGTAAATTCTCCCTCCATATCCCCCTTCCTTTTTTCCATATAGGCCTTCCTGCTTTTCCACACATGGTCAAGAAACATTTACTGATCACCTATTTTGTGCGAAGTTCTGGGGATATAGAAATATAAAAGAAACAACATATGTCAAAGGCTGAGGAGAGATGCAAAGTACTCCAGGACAATGAAACCCATTTTAAATGTTAACATACTTATTTCACCTTTTGGATCCTGTAAGGTTACTAATAATGTGAGGATGTGTACTTTCTATAAAGAACACCAACAGGATTCTACTTTAGTGAGGAAAATTTGCACCTGGGGGAGGGAGCTGCAGCATATAATATACACAAGAAAAGTCTGGGCTTATAAACCACTGCAGTTTAGGTTTTATATTAGAAATGTGCATTATGGTTGCTGCTCTCCTAGCTTTTTACTGTCTTTTCTTAAGGCTACAATTCTTGAAGTGTGGTCTGAGGTCTCAAGTCCCTTTCAAGTAGTCCATGAGGACAAAATTGTTTTCACAGTAATACTGACATTTTGCAACTACTAATCTGTGTGAGGCCAGATTTTCTTCATACACTTCAGCCAAAACAACATATCACAACAGATTGAATACAAAAGCAGATATGAGAACCCAGTTGTTTTCCACAAAGCCAGGCATTAGAGAGATTTGCAAAAATATGTAAAACAATGCCATTTTTTTCACTAAATTTTTTTGTTTTGGAGAATATAATTATTTTTATAAAACATTTGTTATTTATGTTATAATTATTATCATTTTAAATTGAATAATGCATACATTAAAATATATTAATACTAATATCTAATATGGTAAATATCAGTAGCTTTAAATCATATATTTTTAAAAAAGCACTTTGAGGTCCTATGTAATTTTTAAGAGCATAACAGGGTCCTGAAACCAAAATGTTTGAGAACCACCTTTCTAAGGAATCCAGAGGCTAATTTTACAAATGTATACATTTCTTCCTCTAGCAGTGGTCTTATCACATACTTGTGAGCCATGATTTCAGAAAGCTTGATAGATGAGAAACCAAACGGAGTAATGACAAATAAAACTGGGGGTGATCACAGTCTACAGAGGGATTTTTCCTTTTGCAAAAGATCCATTAAAGGTTCAGCTAGCAACCTGTTCTGCGTGGTATTTTAGGTAGCATTCTATTTGCAAAGAGCCCATTAACAGACACCTTAAAAACACCTTTGTGTTTTTTGCTACCTACGAAGCAATGTACGAGGCGTCTGTGCCTTGTACAAGGCACCTCCCATCTCTGCGCCTCCATCTCCTCTTCTGTTAATGGTAGGGATTGAACCAGATCATCTCCAAGGCTCCTCACAGCTCTAAATCCATTGACTGAAAGTAGTAGAGTCATTTCTGTACATTACTACTAGACATACTGGCATTGTTATTTTGTTTGGTACAAACAATAATTTTAAAGAATTTTAAGGTCATTTCTGACCATTTGAAAGACAGGTAAAGTCAGGTCTCTGGGTTTGTTTGTTTTTAAGAAATAGAAAAAGGGGCTGAACCTAAAAGTGTTTTGTTTTTAAATTTTATAAATTTAAAAAATTTTAAACAAATTCAAAATGAGGAAAAAAACCCAACATTGCCATGTACACAGCAGACTGTAAGAGAAGATTCGATATAAAACAATAAATTTCCATTTCAAGAAACCTATGTAATAAATACTACACATTGTTTTCAAAGCTGCCTAGTTTTTCTCTGCTTCCTTGTTGGTTTTCTTTTGTTGTCTGATGTACACTTCTTACTTTATCCCTCCCCACTTCCCCAGGAGGTTACAATTAAGTGTGGAGATATATAGATATATAGATATACATAGATATCTATAAACACCCACATGTACACTTACATATATATATATGCTTATTTCCTCCTATCATCTGTGTCCCTGAAGGTGGATAGCATCTTGTTTCATGAGTCCAGGTCTTTCCATGTTTTTCTAAATCAACCAGCTCATCATTTCCTATATCACAGCAATATTCCTACCCAATCACATCTTATCTGAAAGATTATTTGTGAAAGTTTTTTCCCAATTTTATGCATTCCTTCTGTTTTTGGCCACATTGGATTTATTCATACAAGAACATTTTAATTTAAAATAATTGAAATTATCCTTTTTATATTTCAACAAAGTTCTTGCCTTATAATATGGTTTAAGGTCTGTTACTGCTGAATCTACTTCCTTTACTTCTTTTTTCCCTAGTTTCTTTGATGCTCCTGACCTTCTGTTCTTCTAAATGAACTGTGTTATTATTTTTGCTAACCTGGTCAATTAATTTTTTAATAATTTAATTGGGATGACATTGAATAAATATATTAGGTAAAATTGTCATTTTAAAAATTATATTATCTTTACCTACCCATGAACAATAAATATTACTTCAATTATTTAAATCTGTTTACTTACATAAAAATGGTTTATGTTCATATAGGTCCTGTGTCTATTTTGGCAGGTATACGCTCAGGTATTTTATACTGTCTAGGTATTTTAAATGTCTAAAACAATATTGAATAATATTGCTGACATATGATGTAGTTTCTCTATTTTTCACTTTGGATTAAATCTATTTTAATTTTAACTGTATTTGAGATTGTTATTACTATCTCTGCTTTTTTTACATACTAAATTCTACTCCTGCCCTTCATTTTATTTTTGTGTGTATCTCTCATTTTTATAATGTTTCCTGAAAGCAACATATTATTGAATTCAAAATTTTAATCTGCTATCCATTTCCATTTTCTGGGCAAATTCATCCCATTCACATTCTAAGCTACTATTTTTTGTGTATTTTCCTCTTATTTTTCTTCGCTATCCTTTTTACCTTATTTACCCTTTCCCTCCTCACTCCTCTATTTTACTTCCTACCTTGCCCTCCTATTCCTTAACCTACCCACCCCTCTAAGAGTCCCTCTCTTATCCCCTCCTCCCACCTATACCCTTGCCCTCTTATATCTTTCTGAATTTAGAAGATTTTTATACATACATACATATATATATATATGTATATATATATATATGTTGTTGTTCCCTCTTTAACTCATTCCCAATGACAGTAAGGATCCAGCACTACCCACCCTACCCCCTACTAGCTTCTTCTGTATCATTTTTTCCTTTTATTCCTCATTTGTATGAGATAATTGCTCCTTTTTATCTTTCCCTACACAGTTTTATTTTTTTTAGAGTTCTCTCAGCTCAGCCCACACTTTTTTTCAAATTACCCATATAATGATGACAGTCATAAAAGCACTGCTGATACTTTCACATATATGAAGTAAACAATTTGACCTTATTGAGTCTTTTATAATTGATCTTTAATGTTTACTTTATATTTCTCCTGGATGTTATATGTCAAATTTCCCCTTAAGTTCTAGTGATTTTGTCACAAAAAAAGTCTTTGAGTTCATTTAAAACATTTTTTTTTCATTCAGGATTTTACTTAACTTTGCTGGGTAAATTACCCTTGGTCATAATCCCAGATCTTTTGCTCTGTGGTCCTTCAATATGCCTTGCCCAAGGTCAAACAGGTAGTGTCAAAAGCAGAACTGGGACCCAGCTTCCTCAACCTAAAGCCAGTCTTCTTTCCATTGTATTGAATGAGATGCCTTTCCTATGCTAATGAATAACAATGAAGGGTCATGATCTTGAGACAAAACTCAGTGGTCTTATGAAAACATTTGGACCTGGATGTGGTTTAGTATAGCAAGCACACTCAGTCTGGAGTTAGGAGACCTGAGTTCAAATCCCAGTTCTGCTATTTATAGCTGTGTAACCTTAGACAAGCCACTTAACTGGAAATTCTTAGATCTGGAAGAAAATGTTTGGGTTGGGGTGGGGGAGAGGAGGACAGACTGTTTCTTGTGAGTGGTTGGGGCAGTTAGG